ATATGAAAGGATATATATCATGTCTTTTTACAGCTGATTTGTGTTCTTGAATTCGGATTCGAAGGGGACGGCCACTTCGATGGCCGATGTAATGTTTATTGCAGCTCATACAGTAAATGGTATCTTGTAAATACTATTAATTTTATCTTCTTTTTCTGTTGGGTGGGTGTTTCGGTTTGCACAATATCGAATAAAGTGATTGTGCTGGCTGTCTGTTTATTTCAAACGGTTTTAATATTCTAGCTGTTATTTCAGAGATATTTTTTATACATATGGTAGGATTAATTTTCTTATGGTCTTTGATGTTGGCTTGTTGTTGTTGGTGTTATGACTCGATTTTCAACATGATTTTAGATATCTCATGAAAGATAATTTTAAGGTTAGAAGGAATCAAGTTATCAGCCTTCAAGTACTTCAATGGCTTCCATTCTGATCTCAGTATGAAGTCATCGATTTTCTAAATACAAAATTCCTTTTCTACCTGTTGTACATATGCCGGTATCTTCAGCAAATTCTCTGTTCTTAAAAAAATTTCATGGATTTAGCAATTTATTGTATTCACCACATGACATTATTGTCTACTATAAAAATGGCCTAAAGTATACTGGATATTTTATTACGTAATATGTGATAGAATAACCATTGCAGGCTGATCACAATTGTGAAGGGAGGTGATAACTTGAATAGGAATCATCATCATTATTACTATTGTTGCCCTTCCCATATATATACATTTTGATGTATATCTATGATAGAGAAGATTTGTAGCTCAGGTGGATGATTTTGATATGGTTGTGTTCTCTGAGCCGGATAGTTAATTTGCGAAGCTTTCATCGCCCTACTAGGCGACATCTTCAGCGCATGCACTTCAATTTGAAGTGAGCTTTCAGATTTCTCCACGGGTTTATTAATCATCTCTCCTGGTGACCTTGGACTGCGAAAAACACTACATCGGCCAATGTGGACGTGCCCTTCGTCTTCGTATCCACGAACATAAGCTGGCTGTCAAAAGACATGATATCCACTCCCTCATATCACTACATACAGACAACCACGGACATCAATTCGACTGGGACAACGTTCAAATATTAGACAGAGGAAACAATAAGAATGCTAGAAAATTTTTAGAGGCTTGGAATTCCAGTGAATCATCAATCAATAGACACATCTAGATTGACAAAATTTATCAACCGATAAGAAAAAAACCTCACACACAAAGTGTCAAAGTTCAAGTCAAAGAAACAATCATTTCCAATACAAGTACATTAGAGGGTATGAAAACACAAAAACAACTAATTACGTTCAAGGTCACCAGGAGAGATGGTTAATAAACTCGTGGAGAAATCTGAAAGCTCACTTCAAATTGAAGTATGCGCTGAAGACGTCGCCTAGTAGGGCGATGAAAGCTTCGCAAATTAACTATCCAGCTCAGAGGACACAACCATATCAAAAATGATGTATATCTAATATGGTTATGATAACCAATCTGTTGATAAGGTGATATCAGTTGTGCTTTTTTGTTTTTGTTGTTGTTGTTGATATTAGGAGAAGGAATAAGTCATGAGATTGATATATGTGATGGATGGATGATAATAGACTTGACAACAATCTTGGGGAAAAATATATATATATATTTTTTGATTTACAGCTTGATATATACATGCATTTTTCCCATTATGTGTACTTTTCACGTGTGTACGTGTTTGTAGGGTATTATTATTATTGTTTCCTTTAGTTCCTAGAGGAACATAGGGCTTCAGACACACGTCTCCATTGCGTTCGGTTCTCTGCTAGAGTCTTCACCTGGCTCCAAGTCTGCCCACACGTTTCATCTCCTCTTCACATGACCTCCTCCAAGTCACCCTCGCATTGACGACCAACTGGCCTCTTCCCTTTCGGGTTCCACTCGAGCAATGTCTTATCTAGTGATGTCACTTGATGGTTTCCTCAGAGTATGGCCTATCCGTCTCCATTTTTTCCTGCCTATTTGTTGCACAATCGGTACCTGCTGTGTTGCTTTGCTCCCAGCGATCCCTGCTGCTGATGTTTTCTGCCCGGCCATCTGATCTTGAGTATTGAGCAAAGACAACTGTTAATGAAGGTCTGTAGTTTGTTTGAGATGCTCTTTATGACCCGCCAAGTCTCTGATCCGTTTAGTAAGTAGCACTGACTTCACATTGGAGTTGAAAATCCGGATCTTATTTTCGATGCTGAGTGCTGTTGACCTCCACACAGACTTGGGAGTAGTGAAAGCTTGTCTTGCTTTTCCGATTCTTGCTTTGATATCCTCGTCAGTTCCGCCTGTAGTTGTAGGGTAGTACAATATTGTTCTTCATTCCTCTGTGTTCCGAGCATCAAGCTTGAAGTTTTAATGTTTCACTAGGCACTAGTATTGTTTCTTTTTATGTGGAGTGGAGTGGAGTGAAACTGTTAGCCTCGTATGTCCAACCTCCCTTTTTTTAACCGGGCTTACTACTACCAGCTAAACAATGTTTAGGAGTGTGTCAGTCGGGAATCGAACCACGGCCCATGTGAGTTGCTGGTGACGACGTAGTGGTATGTTTCAACTACTAATCGACTCTGACCACGGATTGACATCAGTTAGAGAACCATTGAAAACCAGCCACAGGGAGTACTGGACAGCCAGCTGTTTCATCCTAGTTTGGGAATCATCGGCAGTACGTACCCACTACAGGGATTCGAACCCAGGACCTTCCGGTTACAAGGCCAGCAAGCTCGTTTACCATTCAACCTCTGGGACCCGATTCCTCATTGGCCCACACATGAATTCTAACTTCTACCAATTCGTGATTTATTTAGCGGGACTGGCACTAATCAATGTCATCAGCGAGTACTTGTCTTCACTGACGATGAGACTCAACTTGGGACGAAACAGCTGTCCAGTACTTCCTACTGGTTTTCAATGGTTCTGTAACTGACTGACTGACTGGTTTCAACGTAGAACTTTGCACAGATATGTAGCAGTCCCACTTGCCACACTCCCTCCATCTAACACACAGAGCAAGAGAAGAGAGTAAAGAGATATTCATCAAGAGAGAGAAATAATAAACAGAAGTGTGACGGAAAGAGAATAGTAATCAGGAAGAACAATATAGTTTTATTGCATATAATAAATCACAGAGTGAGTGTATCTGCACCAGCCATTAACAACAAGGATTTGGAGTCATATCACCAATTGTCTCCAGTCCTAACTGGTTCTTATCATCCCGAGGACATCAACCAGGAGGCCAGTCTGCACCTCCCTACGTGGCTGGTTGGCTGACTGGCTTAAACTAACTGTTGTGGATTTTATTGACTAATGAAGCCGTGTTTTGGTTTGACAACCACCGCCGCTAGCTTACTCTTTTCCAACCTGATCCATCCTATATCAGTCAGCTAACATTGGCGGTCCGTCGGTCGAGGAAGGCGATGGCTAGGGATGCATGCATAACATATATCCTTAACCTCCCAATCGGTTTAACTTCACAACCTCATCGATTGATTTCTACTCCACACCTAGCACTCAATCGACACCTAACATCAATACTGCTCATTTAATTATACTACTTAACACACACGGGAAATAGAACGCAGACAGCTAGTCAGCCAGTCTTTTCATGTCTTCCACTTTCAATGGTTATGTCTCATTCATAACCATAAAGGAGGACACAGCAAACTGCTAAGTAGTACTCATGCCCTTTGGTCGACGGCCAGCCAACCAGCCGGATATCGCGTCTACTAAGCTGGCGTAAGTCGGCATGTGCCAAACGAGACTTGTGTATCCGTTCTGAGATTTCGTCAGCGATCAACCCACTGGTGTTGTCTGATGCAACTCTCTAAATAAGTAAGTTAAGTGGTCAACACGCGCTCCACCAACCACTTCGCTTCTACCTATCTTTAATCTAGGAGTGGTTCTGTATTTGATATCAAACTGGAGTCAAACTTGAGAGACAATATCTACAATCAGTCAGTGTGAGTGAATGCGATTAAAAGATTAGTGTAATTTTATCTTGGGCGGAAAAGTATAAGAGCAGTACAAACTTCTTTCTAACAACTATATTACCTTTAGTTTTATTTATTGATGGAAAATGCGTGAATTTAAAGAATTCCAACCCTCTTCGAGTATTGGCTGTTTTTGTAGGTATTTAGTTTGATTGATTGGAGGATTTCATCATGAGCTGACATCAGTTAGAGAAGCATTCGAAAACCTGCAGGGAGTACTACCAGACAGCTGTTTCTGTTGTCCTAGTTTGGGACTTTTCATCAGTTTGCATCCACCAACAGGTTTCGAACCCGGGACCTTCTGGTTACAAGGCGAGTTAGCTCGTAGACCATTCATCAGCCACTGGGATCCGATCTAATATCCAGTGCATGAATTCTAGCTCCTGCCGACTCATGACAAAGGGCGACCACTTCACAATGTCTTCTTCTATGAGTTACTGCTTCACATTCAACCTGCTGCACTCTACTGGTCACGGCTTTGCACTAGAACCCCATGTAACTGCGTGAATAGTGCCAGTCGCTAGTGAGCATTAAAAGAAATTTCAAGTATTAGTTTATTTTGTAGAGATTGAGTTTGATTGGTCGGAGGATTTCATCATGAGCTGACATCATTTAGAGAACCAATGGAAGACCTGCGAGTACTGGACAGCTGTTTCGTCCATTGGATCGGGTCCCAGTGACACAATGGTCTAAGAGCTTGCTAGTCCTGGTGGACGTGTACTGATGTAGAGTCCCAAACTAGGACGAAAAAGCTTTCTAGTACTTCCAGCGGGTTTTCCAATGGTTCTCTAACTGATGTCAGCTCATGATGAAATCTTTCAAGCAGTTCGACCTTTTATCGAATGATCAAAGTATCTTGTACTTAGTGTCTGACTAAGACGGTCTGTGATAGTTTATCGCAGTGACCTACCACAACCTTATCACACAAAGGCAATTTCTAATCACCTAAATCTTTTACCTTTTGTTTTTCTTTTTTGTGTGTCTTGCTCTTTCATTAGGCTCCTCGAATCATCATGCACATTTGAGTTCATCAGCTGCAGAAGAAATTCAAGGCGCAGTGAATATTCTAGCCGGTAAAAATCAATAATTTAATATTTTTTATATTTAACTACTACTATTGATTATTTTCGTTATATAATCATTCTTCATATATACGAAGAATTAAGATGAATTCTTCTTCTACAAAGGGTACTACAGTTAACAGTTAGCGAATTATTGTGTTGTTAGTAACAACATGGTAGCGATAATGCCTATCTTGACTTGTTTCTTTTGTATGCAGAGCTCCGAATATCTTAATTGAATTGCAATGGCCTTTGCTCGTTCAGTGTGTTCAGTAACCTGGAGGCCTTCGGTAGTATATAAATATATATCGTGCCCAATAGATGAAAGGAAAAGATTCTCCAATGCCGCTTATGTTGGATCAGATCGCCATCGTATCCAATATTGATCTGTTGATGACTTTTAGGTGAAGTTACACTAAACGATGAGTCTCCTTGCGACAAAAGAAAATGTCTGTGCGGGGACATGGAACGTCCGCACCATGTATGAGACTGGCAAAGCTGCCCAGATCACAAACGAGATAGAGAGTCGATGATCTATTCCGGTCACCAAGAAGACAACCACGAGCACACCGAGGGCATGGCTATCATGATGTCACCAATGGCAACGAAGGCCCTGATACAGTGTGGGAGGCGATCTTGCCCAGGATAATGCCATACTCTGAGAAAACAAAGCATCAATTGGTATCACACGACAGGCCATCTCTCGAGTGGAACCCGAACGGGAAGAGGCGAGATGGCCGTCAGTGCGACGGTAACATGGAGCAGATCATGTGAAGAGGAGATGAAAGCATGTGGGCAGATGTGGAGCCAGGTGAAAACGTTGTCAGAGAACCGAATGCATTGGAGACGTTTGGCTGAAGCCCTATGTTCCTCTAGGAACTAAAGGAAACAATAATATATATAACATAATAATAAACTAAATCACAGTCATATACAAGGTCTGTCAAGCGCCCGTGAGATTTAGGGGAAGCTACGAAAGATCATTTCAAATGAAATCATGCCTGCTGCCTTTATGAATTCGGTGAGGGTAGGTAGGCATAATAGTATTCCACTTCTTATTCCCCAGGGTAGGTATTTTTCACCAACCTAAAGAACAGTGATCAAGCAATGTGAACGCACTAATGACCTTGGATGCATACCGTTTGTTGGCTTACACAACCTGCCATTATTAAATCACCCCACCATGAAACCTGTGTATGAATTAATGTGCGAATTTCACCCCGGTCTTGTTTTTCAGTACACTGTACAATGAGCTGACAGCACGTTGGGGTTAGGATTAGTATTAGGGTTTAGAGTTAGAGTTAGGGGCAGGTTATGCAATATCGTCCGGATTATCTATGGATCTCAAAGTACCTTAGTTTACAGTCACCTGGTTGATGAATACATCTATATAGCACACTGTAGGATTTACCCAAGGATTGTTCTTGGCATAACTGGGAGACATTCTAACAACACACTAGAGACGCCATTATCCAGAGTAATATCATATATGAAGTTTTCTGATTGGTTCTTCAAGGTCCCAGTGTGATTTTTGGCTATGATAGTTTAACTTGGCCTGTTTTTACTACATCTTTATTTAGCTGCCCTTAGATGACATGATTTTAAGTGTGCAAGAGATTTAATGGCGGTGAAAGCAAAACACTTCATCAATCCATGAAACCTTTGACTGCTTATTATTTGAGGCAAGTTACGTGGCATAGCTTAAAATGCTTCTTCTCAGTGGAACAGGTCTATTCACCGTGTATACACGCCAACACCCGTCATTCCTCATAAATAATTATCCTTTGGTCCAAACATTTTGTTCGTCGTAGTTCATCGCCTAACTTTGTTATTTCTGAACATATTTTATGCCACTTAACAGGATAGGGAAAAAAGCCGAACACCTATGCTGGAAGACAGTTATCCTCTGCAAGTCTTCCAATTTCTATGACTATACCTCAGTCATAGAGAAGTACTGAGTGGATTGCTGCTCAGTATACCCGTTCTTTAATCGATACTCCGGGTATCACGTGTACTCCAGAGATAGTTTAAGTTGAGAAATGCTACACGACGCTTTTGTAACCGAGTTAAGATTTCATCTTCAATCGGTTTCTTACGGGTAATCCAACTCTCAAATAAGCGAAATGGCCAACACTCTCAATCATTTCACTCTCCACCCTTACACTTGCTGGGAGTTGGTGAAGACCAATCCTACAGCATCATCTTACATTTGACAGAGGTGAATAGCATACAACCTTAAATAATGCCTTTTTTTGTTCAGATTTTCCACGTTAGTTAATCAATCAGTCAGTGAGTCGGCTAGCATATGATGCATGAAATGACGTTTTGTTCATTTCAGTTATCTATAAGCAGAATGGATTACCCGAAGGCCGGGACAAGACGGTGTTCTCCATTTCGACAGAGATAGTAAATTCCTAGAAGTTGATGAAGTAGAGGTTGTCGAAACTGAATATTCTCTGTTCACTACTACTCTAATGTCAGTCGTTTGCCTTTATAACTCAGAAAATTTGTCCAACCGCTGGACTAGTGTAATTCAGAGGTCGCTGGTTTGAATCTCACTGCAAGACTTGGATTTCCATTTCACCTGCAATCATCAGCGTCCATAACATGATTTAACAACAGTTTGTCAATCCAAGACGACACTGTCTCAGAGTAGTCTCACCACTAAATGTCTAAAACAGTCTACTTAATGAATACAAGAGAATCAAAATGGTAATGATGCCCACTCCCCATCTCATGATTTTCCCATCATCACATGATTGGGTGGTTAACTTGGGCAGTACATATATATATATATTCTGCTCTATGAATACAGTCGTATATATTTAATTACATAAGCGGTGTCAGGTGAAAAGGTTTTTGAAAGCACAACGGTGACAACAATATTCACAAAATGCAATAAAATTTATTGAAAATCTAAGCAGAAATGAAAGTTTGTAATTGGGTATCATATGATATGCACGTGTTGAATATTCACTCAGACATCTGTAAAAAACAAAATAATTGAACAAAGAATATCCTTTTCGATAATTTCCTCTTTTGGCTCTATAATTATATATATGTTTATATGCATAGAATATTCTAGAATAGTAGTCAATAACAATATTGGTGTTTTTTAAATAATATCGATTTGTTAAGTAAGATCGCAATGGAATTACAGTTCATTAAAGATGCTTAAATTATAATAATAATAAAAAGATATAATAGCAAATAGAATATCAACTAAAATTAAGGAAATTTCTGCAACAAATCGAGGATCATTCGAACCTAGATGGCCAAGGTAAGGGCAGTGTCTGAACCAACATCTTTTGGACGCATAAATTAGGCTTCTTAATATGGATCTCAACGGCCTCAGCAATATTTAGTAGTCGAACTCTTAAGACGAAGTTAAATATGTTGGTATGCGGTAAATGACTCTGAAAGCTGCCTCGTTGACACCAACCTTGTGTTCTGTATCCACAAGATGAGAAAGAATGGTGCTATGAATAGATTTTGTTTGTCCTTCACTTAACCACTTTTCAGGATGATGTTCAAAAATCCGATGAGAAACACGCCGAATTGTACGGCGTATGTAACTGGCTTACCTCACAGGAGCAGTTAAATTGGTAGGTATACATAGAAGAGGCGAAATTAGGCAGTTTATCTTCTACTCCTGAAAACAAATAGGAGTGGTTTTGAAGACACAGCGTAACTCAGCAGCAGGGGATTTCTCTTCATTTTACTGCATTCCTAATGCGTTGTGTTAATATCTCGCTGATGTTATCTCCGAGTAACTAGAACTGTAAGAATAAGGCCTTCCCTTTTTGGAACTGTTGGTGACTTGGTCTGCTTTTGTTTTAGATTCATATTCTTATCAATAAACTTTCCTGGATAACGGTTTTCACTGAGCAACCGTTTAATATTGTTAAGTTCCTCATCAAGACATTCATCAGAGTAGAATGCTCTTGCTCTGTAAAACAACCAATTTATCAGATTGCGTTTGTATTTCAACGGCACAAAGCTGAAAAAATGAGTATACTGACAGTCAGTTGATGTAGGTTTTCTATAAACACTTCTTCTTATTGTGCCATCCTCTTTTCTGGCCATAATGACGTCTAGGAATGAAATACTGGAGACTTTTTCTTTCTCAGTAGTAAAATTTACTGCAGGATGAACCTCGTTAAATTTATCCACGATGTTCTTTGCTTCCTTCTCATTTCTCATAATCAAAAATGTATCATCCATGTACTGACTATTATTCTAGAATATTCTATGTACATAAACATATATATATATATAATTGTAGAGCCGGAAGAGGAAATTATCGAAAAGGATATTCTTTGCTCATTTTATTTCGTCGCTCGTTCAGCGGTAGAACGCTCACCAACGACTCATGTGGTCCGCGGTTTGATCCTCGGCTGGTGCACTCCTCAACCTCGATAAGCCGGTAGTAATCCCTATAAAAAGGGAGAATGTCGGGTGCGAGGCTAACAACCCCACCCCTGCGCGGTAAAAATAAAACCACTGCTACCGAAACTTCAGAGATATGTTGCACTCGGATCATATCCACACTTGATTATAAAGCGTTTCAGACCTCCGTAAACATCGAGATATTTCTGGTTAAATGATTCATTCCCTATTTCAGTTGCCTGTTTGTCAGTAATTCATCACACGAGAAAGTGTTTACAACACTGAAAAGAGCTTATATAGTCCCCGTAGAGTGGAACAACTCTGTGCTTAATCCGATAAATTGTATTACTGAGCTATTGTTGAGAAGCATTCGATTTTCTGTTTCGAGATTGAACCATTGGATACAAATCGATACCAGCACTATCTACTTCTAAGTGTGAATTGAACTGTGTGATTTATTCAAGTGTGTAATGGGGTCGTGTAACATTAGGTGACAATTCAGCGTGCTGTGCACCTATCATCTTATTTTTGTGTCAGTTTAGTGGTAAGTGCAAAAAACCCAAATTTTTCTTCATGTAGTACAGGGTCGAATCGGGTAAATGAAACAGGTCTTCTTGACTCTGAAACCAGTGTGGAGATCTCATCACTAATGTCAAGTCATTGCTTCTCTATAGCTCAGAAACTTGGCTTAGGTGTTGCGGAAAGTATTTCCCACAGGTTACAGACGTCCGCTAACAGCTGACCTTGCTCAGTACTGAAGACTAGATGGCCAGATGGCAAACCAGTAAACAGCAACAAATACAAGAGAGTAGGTAGGGGGATAGGTTAAGAATACTCTGAGGAGACTATTGATTGACATCGCGCTAGTCGAAACCCTCAAGTGGAATATGTGTGTGAAGCGACGTACGGTTTGTCTGAGGGTGACATGGAGAGTATTACGTAAAGCTGAAATCGAACCTGGAAGTCGTCACTGCTAAGAACAAGGCACAATTAGAATGTGCCGCTGAGACCGTATTATTTGCCACTCGGAACTATATAGTAATATCACGTTTTTAACGACAAATTATTAACTTTAGTTTGATTAAGTTTTTAAAAGATGTTTATTTTTCATTTTAAAATTTTTTAGGTCGTCAGGTTTTTCCAAGTGCTGGTTCAAGTTGTACTCGTCCAGGAATTCGTGTGAAAAGTGCTTCTGAATCTCAACATCTACTTGTTATAAGTAAATCGCTGTCTAATGTGAGTCAGCTTTTTTTTCTTGTATGTTAGTGGTAAACTAAGTTAAGTTAAGACGAATATATTTCCTGTGGTATTCAATCAGTCTGTATAAAAAAAGAGGGATTTGGGAATTCAGGGAATCAGGGTTGTAGAATCACAACTTAATTGCTATATATGTTTCTCAATTATTTTCTAGCTGACTTCCTAGCAATCTGTTTCTGATAGGCGTGTTTTTTGCCACAGCACAAAACACCATTAAGTGTATACAGAATTACCAGCTAGGAGTACTGGAACTCTTCGTCCGTACGTACCCACCAGGGTTCGAACCCAGGATCTTCCAGTTACAAGGCGAGCTCGTAGACACCTCTAAGCCACTGGGATCCGATCCAATGGCCCATGAATTCTAACTCCTGCCAATTCACGTTACAGCGATACTGGCACTAGCCGATGTCATCGCTGGCGAGTATTTGTCCTCACACCCAACCTGCGGTAGCCTAATGGTCTACAAACTGGCCTTGTAACTGGAATGTCCTGGGTTCGAGTCTCGGTGAGGGCATACTGGCAAAGAGTCCCAAGTGAGGACGACACAGCTCTTCAGCACTCCCAGCTGGTTTCCCAATGGTTCTCTTACAAATTTCAGTTCATGATGAAATCCTGTGACTAATCGAATCCTTGCAAACCAACGCTTGAGTATAGAGAATTGTTTGAAAATTAGAATAATCGATTCTACTTTAGAAAGTATCCATTCAAGAAACAATAAACTTGTCACTTGGGGATAATTTAAAAGATTATTAGACAGGCAATAAATTCTCATTATAGCATTTCTCTTATCTATGGTAATTTTGATTAAGGAGTAGCCAGTGTCATTTCCGTAGTCTTTTTTTCTGGAGCGCTGGTGTGCTGCTGGATCGTACCAGTCAACTTTGAAATGTGGTCTAACCAAGCTGTTGCTATGCTCCTCGAACTGATACTAGGTAGTCGAAAGCAATCGACAGGACACCCAGAACGTAGGTTTCCTACTTCTTGTGGCGCTCGTCAGCAAGAACCTCGAGGGAACTGATGTCTCCTTGCAGGGCTGAACAAACCTCACCTAGTCTAGTAACTCAGAAAGCATTATTACTGAGTTATTCGGGCTCACGACTGACGTATTGTGGAACTGGATTGCATACGTTGGTTGGTCATTAAGGAGTAATGAATCTGTTCGTCATTCGCCTTGAGATTGCATATACACTCTGACGACGAGTGCGAATAAACACGAAACCTAGGAGTGGGGCTTCCTGACGCTCTCCCTCCAAACCATCTCTAAAACTATTAGATTTCAGTAATTCTTTCTTATCCCATTTTCTTGCCAGAAGAAAAAGGCAACGATCATAGTTTGGACAATGTATGATGATAGGTATCCTTCGAAGTAAAGACAAAAGTAATACAAGGCTGCCTACTATCTCCCATGATTTTCCCGATTGCGGGCGGTAGACTGGATAATGCGACAGACAGCGCCGGGCAACGAGGAAACAGGCATAAAATGGACCCACACAAAAAACTTGGAGGATTTGGACTTGGCCGACGATGATATGTGTTTGATTTCACACAAACGCTGGAAGATATGCTGCAAGTGAAAAGTAACAATTAGCAGAAGAAGCATCCAAGATAGGACTTCAGGTGAACATAGAGAAAACAGAGGTGATGAAGATTCCTGGTCAACACCACCAACAGCAACAACAACAACAACAGACAACAATCAGCATAAATGGGCGGAACCTGAAAGAAACAACCTCCTTTACCTACCCACCTACCTGGGAAGCATCGTTTCAACTATAGGCAGACGGAATTGATGAGGATATCAAAGCAAGAATCGGGAAAGCAAGACAAGCTTTCACTACTCTCAAGTCTGTGTGGAGATCAACAGCACTAGTTCAGCATGAAAAATAAGATCTAAATTTTCAACTCCAATGTGAAGTCAGTGCTACTTACTATGCGGATCAGAGACTTGGCGCCACGTCACGAAGAACACCTCAAACAAACTACAGACCTTCATCAACAGCTGTCTCCGCTCAATACTGCTAAAGATCAGATGGCTGGCCAGGAAAGATCAGCAACAGGGATCTCTAACAATGAGCGAACCAACCCAGCAGGAACCTATTGTGCAACAAATATGCAGGAAGAAATGGAGGTAAATTGGTGGTCATACTCTGAGGAAGCCATCAAGTGACATCACTAGACAAGCCATTGCTCGAGTGGAACCCGAATGGGAAGCGGCTAGTTGGTCGTCAATTCAAGGGTGACTTGGAGGTGATGTGTAGAGGAGATGAAAGCATGTGGGCAGACTTGGAGCCAATAGGAAAACGTTGGCAGAGAACCGAATGCAACGGAGACTCACGGCCGAAGCCCTATGTTCCTCTAGGAATTAAAGGAAATAAAAATAATGATAGGTGTGTTAAACTGTAAGCATTATCGTAAGTCATCATTTGTATTTAGTGGTAGAATAGATTACATTGACAGCGTATATCTACATTCATAAAAGCATATGAGTAAAGTTAGAAATACTTTGTTATTGATGGTCACATTAGAAAGAATAATTGCTGGGATTGAGAGTTGGGGTGGGGAGATTACGTATGTCTGCCTATTGTCCTGTCAACAAGTGTCCACTTTATATCACGGTCTATTGCACACTTCACTATCTCTATTTAATTCTCCTTGACATGATAATATCCATCTATGATGTCTAGACTAGATTGAACTGCGATATGTCATATATCACGTGAGGTATATATTTATATATACATATCTTTAATGCGTTTGTAGGAGGCGGTCAGTACTGTCAACCGTGGGCATGTGGTTTAAACATTAAATGCAAAGTTAGAATGGGAATATATATAATACACTTCATTGCGTCGTTTCTCTCCCGCCCTCTTCTCTCTCTCCCTCTCTCACTCGCTCCATGAGTTAACTTCTTTGTAATTTAAGCCTAAAGGGGAGGGAGGGGGTTTGGGTTTTTGCTGAAGTTTTGAATATATTCATATGTTGCGTGTGTTTTATGTCACAGCATGTGTTATCTGTCACCTGCTTGCAGTCAATCACCTTTTTTTAAAATACTTTTTTTCTGTATTTTGCTTTACTTTTTTTTCTTCTATTCTATTTAGTCAAAAGAAGACTTTTCTCCTTGTGCATTTGGACAATTTGGTGAGTGTATTTCACATACGCTTGTATATGCGTGTGTGTATATATGTTATCATAACATGTGAACAATCGATATTTTTCTCCAGGGCATATTGTGTCTTTATTAAACAGATTTTTGTGTTCACTTTAGAAGTGTAAAGCGAAAATGGTAGTTGTGATACAGGTGAGGTCGAAACTTTGGGTTCGATCCCCCTCCTGGACAGATGTATTCCTGAATCTCGCCTGGTTTACTCGCTGACAGTTAGTCAAGTGAGTTACCCAAGGTGATCAGGCAGCTGTCGAGTACAACATCAGCCGAGCCTCAGTAGAGCCACCAAGAAGAAGTTTCGAGTTAGCAACAAAAAGTAGCGGTGGTGCTAAGAATGAGCGTCAGAAGAGACAAGTGCTTCTGAATGTGATAAGATGGGATACTGAAGGAAATACTACCCAAAATAATGATGATAATAATAATAGTAATATTAATGACGACACCAATAATAAGGAATCTAAATCATCAATAGTAATTCCATAAAAGGAAGGAACCTCGGAAGCCTTACGCAGAATTCTTAACAAGGCAGGAATTAAAGTGGCTGGCATTCAAACTGCCCACAAACTCAATTAGAAACAAGCTTTGTCGGTTAAAGGAACCTGCGGAACCTCTAAAACAAAACAATTTAGTTTATCTAATACCCTGCCTGCAATGACTGTCACGTCAAATACATGAGTCAAACTAGTAGAACAGGGGCAGTCAGACTAGCTGAACATAAAAACCCAGCAAAATCTAGATTGGTTGACCTGAATAACATAAGAAATCTAGAGAATAGTTCAACTATAGCACCACATGCAGTTACACACAACCATACAATAGGATGGGATAGGACGACAGTTTTAAAATCTGATGTCACAGGGTATAGGGAGAGATTGATAACAGAAGCTTTATTTATCGAATAAACTGCAGGTGCATGTAATAGGAATGATTCAACACCTGTCCCAGATATCTGGAAAATTCTACTACCCCAACCACGGCAAATAGGAGAGAACACAGAAAACTATAAAACTGAAGTTTCGAAGTCGTGTGATTATAATTGATGATATGATTATGAACAATAAATTTTGTTCGAAACGCCATCCAGTAAATAATACTGTCTCACTGTGTGATACATGTAATAAACAAACTAATATGGAATTACTTACTACCACAGGGCCCAAGTTTTACACATATATTGAGAAAAACCTTTAGCAATAAAAATGTTTTTCTTCTTTCTCTGCGATAAGACTAGAAGTAATAGAGGCTATTGAAATGGGAGCAAGATGTTTTATGCTTATAATCGTTCCAGGGGCAACAGTCTCACTCGTAGATGCGATTCTATATCAAAATGTCAGACCGTGTTCATTGGCAGTTCAGATACGTAGGGGGCCATGTGTTAAAAGTTGCAGACATATGTCCAACTGCAATGTTCGCAATTGGCAGTTGCAAAGTAACGTTTCCATTCATTGTTGTGCCTCAGCTACAACGAACAATCCTGTTAGCTTGTCTGAGATCGAACCTGGGACCACTTTCAGGTTCTCCTGCTTCAATAGGATTAATTGGGAAAAGAGTTAGTAGGTTGGTCAAATCAAAATATGGAGTCAATCGATGAAGAATTTGACAGTTGGTCTGAATCAACTGCATAGTAAATGTTCTAGACTGCTTGTATAGGGTCCTCGAGATTTTACGAATCAGTGGCTTGAGATGGTTAGTGCTTTAGTGACATAATTGTATTCACTCTTTATGGACTCCTGGATCCTTTAAGTACCCATATCTCTCCATGTTACTATTCCTTCTCTACTTCTTTTGGATATTTCTCTCCTCTACACCTTTGTGTGCGTCGATGGCATAGCGGTTAGGACACTCGCCGACCATGCTCATGGTCCGGAGTTCAATTCCCGGCCGACGCACTCCTTTACCTCGCTAAGCCAGAAATAAAAGCTGGTAAAGAGGAAAGGTTGGGCATGTGACTAGCAACCCCATCCTGTAAAAATAAACACTGCTACAGAAACTTCAAGCCACTAGCTTGAAGCCTTATGTTCCACTGGGGAACGTGAAGGAATAAAAGAAAAACACCTATGTGTGCTACATAAAATATGACAACTTGAGGTGCTTCTGTGCTATCTCCTGTGTTGAAATTCATGTAGTTGGGGTGCTCACTTCAGCCTGTACAAAGTGTGTGTGTGTGTGATTACATAGCTTTGGTACATTGGTGGTTAGTGGGGCGATTCATAGACTGGCCATTGGATCGGATCCCGCTGGCTGAATGGTCTACGAACTCCCCTTGTGACCAGAAAGTCCTGAGTTCGAACCCCCGTGGTGGGTGGGGTGTACTGATGGTAAAATCCTGTGACATAAAATTCTAACGAGATAAGATAATTAACTCACTAACTAATCAACTAACTAACTAATTTTTGTTAAGAATGCATATGTTCTTGTTTTTTATTGTTTTCCGGTTGTTGTTGTCGTTCACACGGTGAAAATGTTTCATGTGAGAGAAAAAATAACCTCCACTGTAGTAAAGAGTATCCTTAAACAATGAAATTTTATGATGGTTAAATGACTTCCTTCCCTTCCCTACCCTTACCTTTATTTTATGATCATTAAGTATCCAGATGAATTTGTTACAAACTAAAGTCCATAAAATTAGGTAGGAGATCGTAATCATCATAATCACCAGGATTAACTTTATGATAAAATCAATCACTTTTTTTTTATCGTAAATGAATTTTACAAAAAGTTATGTAAAACTGTCTAACTAAGGGGGAAAAAAGGCCAAGTCGGTTTTCACACACACATCTGATAACTTTGAGGGATAGCATAAACAAAGATGTCATGATTTTATGTCATATATATGGATGTATACATATCTTTTTTCACTCACTCACTCACTCACTCACACTCATTTAGTAGCCTTCTCTTTCTTTCTCTCAGGCTAACAATCAAATCTATGCATTGTTTATAAAATTATATACGTTATTATGTGTCATAAAACCTGCACTTGTTGTGACAATTACTGCCTTTTTGATGATATTATGTGATGGAGGGTTGACTGACAGTGGACAGTGGATCTACCAGGATGTACAGATTTCGTCAAAGTCACTTGAAGCCAAAAATTGTGTGTGATGGTGGTGTACAAAGTCTACAAAGAGAGTTTTTCATCATCCTCACTGATTTTTCCCGACAGCTTCTTCGCCTAACTATGATGACTTGCTTCCATTAGGATATTTTGATATCGCCATCCAGCACGTTGTAGCGTAGGAGCGTCCTCCTTTATGGCTGCGAGACCTGGCCATTGAGAGTGGAAGACGTGAAAAGATTAGCTGTCTTCAATCATAGGTGTCTACGTTCTATCTCCCGTGTGAAGTGGTATAATAAGGTGAACAATATGGTGGTTAGGCGTCGAGTGCTAGGTAAGGAGGGGAAATCAGTCGACGAAACTGTGAAATTACATCGACTGAGATGGTTAGGATATGTATTACGCATGCATGCCTAGTCATCGCCTTCCTCGACAACAGGCAATGTTAGCTGATATAGGGTCAGGCTGGAAAAGAGCTACCGGTAGTCGAACCAAAACATGGTATCAGTCAATGAAATCTACAGCAGTTAGTCTAAGCCATGTAGGAAGGTGTAGACTTCCTGGTTGGCGTCCTCGGGACGGTAAAAACCAATGGTTGGAAACAATTGGTGACATGGCTCAAAATCGTTCTCAATGGTTGGCGCAGATGCATCCACTCCTTGTGACTTATGATTTCCAATGAAACTGTTTTGTTCTTCGTTATTACTATTCCTTTGTCCCACACCTCTGTTTACTGTCTATATTATGGATTTCTTCTACATTCTTCTCTTGCTTTGTGTGGTACATGGAGGGAGTGTGGCGACTTGAACTGGCGCACATGTGTGTAAAGTTCTATGTCGAAAACCGACCGAGGAGCTTAGGATTTGTATCATTGAATTGAATTTTGTCATTAACCCGTGAGGAGATTGGTTCCCTGTGCATATGATGTATTGATGCTGTTGGTAACGTCATGATAAATAGGCTACTCCTTTAGTGCACTTGTGAAGGTTGTCTTCTAGGCGACTGGAGTAGATTATTGACTCTTTAGTTAACCACGGAATATACACATTTTATCATAGGGAATAATAAAAAGACAGTTGGAGCGAAGAAAATTTTCTTTTAGACGAAGTCACCATCGACTAGACAGCTGTACATTCGTGTATTTATTATAAATGGGTAGGAAAGTTCCAGAATAATTTTCGGTTAAGGGTCAGATTAATAAAATTACAATGAGGAATTATAATGCTATAGTAAACAGGGGGATGGATAAAACTCAAACAAAGTAGCATCATAATTACTGAGAAGATTGACATATTGTGCAATTAGGAGTTAGAAATATAGAAATAACAACAATAGACAGGATGTTTGAATACAAAATCTAGTGGAATCATAACCAATGTGACGAATAATTGTTTATGCAATCAGGGATTAAATATGTAGAAATAATAAAATAACAAAATAGACGGGAAGTTCGGATATGAAAATATGGTTGTGTAAATAGGGATTAAGAAAAACTTGAAAAATAACATGAATAGACAGGAAGTTTGGATAAGAGAGTGAATGGGATAGTCACTATTAGAAGAATTACCTGTTTATGATGGCCACGGCAGGGACAAGGGTTGAACGTATTTCTTTTGGATACATAGCATGGGCTTGAGCTTTTGGATAGCTAGTGCCTCGGCTATGCCCAGATGTCTTAATTTTACTCCCTTTGATAGGTTTGATCGAATCTTCTATATTATTTTGAAGGATTTGTCGAATGGCGCTGAATGTCCTGAATTGACCAGATGTTCTGTCACTGAACTATATATACACGTTTTCGTTCTCCTTTTACTAGCCAGGCTGGATAGTGTTCACGAGCGCGTTTTTCAAGTTGGCGCATGGTACGGTCGATGTACTCAGCTCCACAAGAGCAAGTAAACTGGTATATGCACGTTG